ATCTTTCTAACATTTCACAATGCATCCTTAGTCCTTTACACAATTGATCTACATGGTTAAAGAAGTAACTTCATCCGCTGACTTAACAGGACACATCCCCCGTCACCACCATTATTTCCAAACCGTTTTTCGAACTTCAAGAGATGTTTTTTATCAGCACTAAATCTGCAAAACAGGATTAATGGAAGATCAGCAAGAAGGAGGAAACAACAACAACATGACTAAGATAAAAAGAAAGGAGCTGGGATTGTCTTGCATGTTGAATGCTGAGGTTGGAGCTGTTCTAGCTGTGATTCGACGAATACCTGAAGCAAACCCCCAATTTCACCACCCTTCTGAAGAAAATTATGATTCCACGATACTCCAATCTTTAAAATCATTAAGGTCACTCATCTTCAATGCTGAGCAAGAATGGCGGAAGATTGATCCGTCTCTCTACCTGTCACCTTTTCTTGATGTAATACAAAGCGATGACATTCCTGCAGCAGCAACGGGGGTGGCCCTTTCATCCATCCTGAAGATCCTCAGGCTTGATATATTTGATGAGAAGACTCCTGGGGCTAAAGATGTTATGGATGCAACTGTGACTGCAATCACGGCTTGTCGCCTGGAGAAAACTGATCCTGTTTCTGAGGAGGCTGTCATGATGAGAATTTTGCACGTCTTGACTGCTGTTATGAGGCATAAAGCTTCTGTTTTGCTCACTGATCATGCAGTTTGTACTGTGGTCAATACATGCTTTCAGGTTGTCCAACAGTCGGCCCATCGTGGCAACTTGCTTCAGCGCAGTGCAAGGTACACAATGCAGGAACTGATCCAAATAATATATTATCGGTTGCCAGATATTGAGGTGAATGATTGGGAGAACTCTGAATCAGATACAGAAGATAGCAATTTGGATTCGGGGTTTGGAATTCGCTCGGCTGTGGATATCTTTCAATTCTTATGCTCTTTACTTAATGTGGTTGAAATTGCAGAGTCAGAGGTTTTGCATGCTCATACAACTGATGGAGACGTTCAGCTTTTTGCCTTGGCTTTGATCAATTCTGCGATAGAATTGAGTGGTGACAGCATAGGTAAGCACCCAAAGCTTTTGAGGATGGTCCAAGATGACTTATTTCACCATTTAATATACTACGGGACGTACTCAAGCCCACTAGTTTTGTCAATGATCTGCAGTACTGTTCTGAATATCTATCACTTCCTTCGCAGGTTAGCATATCCAAATCAAGCACAAACTTAATTCTTGGGCTTCTATAAAGGTCAATCAATAATTAACCGAAATGCCTCGGCCAATTGCAGGTCCGTTCGTCTACAATTAGAAGCTTTCTTCTCATTTGTTTTGTTCAGAGCTGCAAATCTTGGAAGCTCTCCCCAACTCCAAGAACTTGCAACTGAAGCAATCGTGAATTTCTGTCGGCAATCTACCTTCATAATCGAAGTCTATGTGAATTATGATTGTGATCCTATTTTTGGGAATGCGTTTGAAGAAATAGGCAGGTTGCTTTGCAAGCATGCATTCCCAACTGGTGGCCCTTTGACAAGTTTACAGGTCCAAGCATTTGAAGGCCTTGTACTTGTCATTCATAATATTGCAGAGAACATCGATAAGGAAGATGATACATGCCCTTCTGGACCATATCCAGTTGAAATCACTGAGTATACACCTTTCTGGGAGGAGATTTCAAAAGATGATGGTCTAGAGGATTGGGTGACTTTTGTTAGAGTAAGAAAGGCACAAAAGAAGAAGCTACTCATTGCTGGAAATCACTTCAATCAAGATGACAAGAAAGGGTTGGAGTATCTGAAAATTTCTCACTTAATCCCTGATCCTCCTGATCCAAAAGCTTTCGCTTTGTTTTTCCGTTTCACCCCAAGACTTGACAAGACCATGATTGGGGATTATCTTGGTGATCCTGATGAATTCCATATTCAAGTCCTCAATGAATTTACAAATACATTTGTATTTACAGGTATGATATTGGATTCAGCTTTACGGAATTATTTGGAGACTTTCAGATTACCGGGAGAGTCTCAGAAGATTCACAGAATACTTGAAGCATTTTCAGAAAGATTTTATGATCAGCAGTCCTCGGAACTTTTTGTGAGCAAGGATGCCGTGTTTGTTCTTTGCTATTCTCTCATCATGCTGAACACTGATCAACACAACCCGCAAGTTAAGAAAAAGATGACAGAAGAGGAATTCATCAGGAACAATCGAGAAATCAATGGCGGAAGTGATCTCCCTAGAGAATATTTATCTGAGCTTTTTCATTCTATATCATCCAAAGCGATCACACTCTTTGGTCAATCAGGTACACCTGCAGAAATGAATCCGAGTAGATGGATTCAGCTAGTCAACCGAGCCAAACTCATGAAGCCATATGTATTGTGTAATTTTGATCGTCGATTAGGAAGAGATATGTTTGCTGCTATTGCTGGACCCTCAGTTGCAACTCTTGCAGCAATTTTTGAGCAAACTGAAGAAGAGGAAATTCTCCATGAATGCATTGAGTTATTGTTTGCAATAGCTAGAATAGCTCAATATGAATTAGAAGACAATCTTGATGAGCTTATTTGTTCGTTTTGCAAATTCACTACCTTGCTCAATCCTTATGCATCAGCAGAAGAAACCCTGTATGCTTTCAGCAATGATATGAAGCCAAGGATGGCGACACTCGCAGTTTTCACTATTGCAAACACTTTCAAAAATTCCCTTCGAGGGAGTTGGAGAACTATTGTTGAGTGCTTGTTGAAACTCAGAAGGCTCAAGTTACTTCCACAATCGGTTGTCGAATTTGAAATTGCTTCAGATGCATCTATTGGAACGAAGCATGATAAAAATGAGTCAGCAGCATCTATTTCAACCCGTAATACAAAATTCAACCATATACGCCGTTCCTCTGGCTTAATTGGTCGATTTTCACACTTCTTATCATTGGAGAGCGTGGAAGAATCTCTAAACCTTGGAGTCAGTGAATTTGAACAGAATCAAAACATTATCCAGCAATGCCATATTGAAAACATTTTCACCACCAGTTCAAGTTTACCCGATGAATCATTACTGAATCTTGGGCGTGCTCTTATATATGCATCAGCTGGGAAAGGCCAAAAGTTCAGCACTCCCGTTGAGGAGGAAGAAACTGTGGCATTCTGTTGGGATTTGATTGTCATCATTTCTTGTGTTAATATGCACAGATTCTCAACCATTTGGCCTCACTACCATGATTATCTGCTTGGAGTTGCCCAATTTCCTCTGTTTTCACCAATCCCATTTGCAGAAAAAGCCATTGTAGCTCAGATGAAAATCTGCCTCAAGATCCTTTCTGCATATCAACTTGATAAAGTCTCTGAGGAACTCATCTTTAAATCCATAAATCTAATGTGGAAGTTGGAAAAAGAAATTCTTGACACTTGCTCAGAGTTCCTAGTAAAGTCGGTGAGCAGAATCCTGAACGAGTACCCTGCAAATTTGCAGAGTAGCCTAGGATGGAAGACTGTCCTGCATTTGTTGTCAGTCACTGGACGTCATCCTGAAACATATGATCAAGGAGTTGAGTCACTCATCAATTTGATGTCTGATGGAATGCACATATCGCGGACTAACTATGCCTCCTGTATTGAATGTGCATTTGGTTTTGTTGCACTCAAGAATAGTCCAGTTGAAAAGAACATAAAAATTATGGACCTCATGTCTGATTCAGTGAAATTGTTGGTTCAGTGGTTTAGAAGTGGGTACTCAGATCCGGGTAGCAATGTTAGTACGGGAAGCAACGCAAGCGCCTCTTCCACGGAAGACAATGCAAGATCAGGCAGCTCTGCCAGCTTCATCATGAACTTATTTGTCAAACTAGGTGAAGCCCTTCGACGGACATGCTTAGCCAGGAGAGAAGAAGTGAGAAACCATGCGGTCATTTCTCTTCAGAGAAGCTTCATCCTGGCTGAGGAGCTGTGTTTTACACCGGCAAACTGTATTTACTGTTTTAACAGCTTGATCTTTGCCATGGTTGATGATATACACGAGAAGATGCTGGAATATTCAAGGAGGGAGAATGCAGAAAGAGAAACTCGAAGCATGGAAGGAAGTTTGAAGCGTGCAATGGAGGTCTTAGTGGAAGTTTATTCGCAGCTTTTGAAACCGATATCAGAAAGTCCTCATTTTAGGCCTTTCTGGATGGGACTGTTGCGAAGAATGGATACGTGCATGAAGGTAGATTTGGGAGGGTATGGCAAATCAGATATGCAAGAGGTAATACCGGATTTACTAAAAAGGATTATCTCAATAATGAAGGAAAACGAGTTGTTAATTCCCAAAGAAGGTGATGACCTGTGGGAGATAACCTATGTTCAGATACAGTGGATTGCTCCGTCACTCAAGGACGAACTATTTCCTGGTGCACCGTAGTTGGGAATTCATTTTACCATGTTCCATTTTTTACGCTGGTTGATTGATCCAGCCAAATGTATCTACTGTCTAGGAGTGGATCTATTTTGTTCGTTAGATTTTCAATGCAGTGTTAATTTATTTAAGAGAGAGTAGAGAGTTATCAAACCAAAGAAATTATCATGCCCAACGAGTTGTGTTTATGCCGTTGGACCGATTACCCAAAGCTGCGCAACCAACCCATTTGAAAGAGAATGATAACAGATCAGAATCGAGTTAAACTTTTTGCATTTGTTTGTAGCATGACCAGTTTCTGTGTGATAAACTTGAATTTGTCAGACGCTAAATTACAACGTAGATAAATAGGGTAATACAAAGAAAAGGAAACGGCTAATGATGCACATCTTAATGGCACTGATGAGCAACAAATGAGTTCCCTTCATAAGATGTCATGTGAGTGAGGCTTTAATTCCGACGAGAATGTGCTGATAAAAGTCAAGTAGGAACAGAATATTGCCAGTGGTGCAAATCCATTTGGGCTGCCCATCACCTGGAAAAATGTTTTTCGAATAATGTTACAGTATTTTGATAGTTTAATGTATGACATATAATAAGGTGATCAAGAATGTGTTTTCACATGGATTCCCATTTTATTGTTTCATATCAAACAAGAAGTAGATGCTGGTGGAAAACAAAATTGAGCTAACATGTTGTGGTAATTAGAAAGATAGAGAATAGAAAGCTACTGTACCTAACCAAAAATACCAGATTTCATACTAAAGCCTAACAGTAGATACAGAAATTCATTGTCATACTTGCAAGATGGAGTAATTCCAAATTACCCTTGCACCAAAAAAGAAACAAAAGGTATATGGCGAGGTACTCAAAAAGAGCCAAAACTTTCCCAAAACAACCACTCTGGCAGTTGGCCATCGATGCTGAAGTCCAGTAGAAGGGTGACCTTCATTTCTCATAAACGCTCTCCCTCCTGCAAATAGAATAAGTACAGTCATATGCGTGTCCTTTCAACATGAAACTGTTCTTTGAAAATTTAAATATCAGGCGAAGTCTTAGTAGGACAAAAGCAACACTTAATTGGTGATGCTGCAATTATGTGTTTGACCACAACGAGCAGATTGCCTCGGAGCGCTGCACATAAACTGCATAACCAAGTGTACTTTTTAAACAGACTTTTTGTGATAAAGATACAGAAAAGCTACCAATTTACTACAAGGTTTTGAGCATCATTGCACCAAAACTAATCCAAAAATTTCAAAGACAATAAGGAACCTTCTCGTATTGTTAATTTAAACTAAAGACAATCTTATGCCTATAAAAACAAAAAAGATTAAAGGTGCAAGACATCCGATGACCCTGATCACTTCACAGTTCATAAATATTTCCACATTGCTCTTTTACGAGGCTATTTCAATATTTGACAAGCTTACAACCCTGCACAAATATAACTTGCTATGCTGAAACCTCAAGCAAGTCTTTCTATAAAGCTAAGACTGGTCATCAATATCCCTAAATTTCATGACGAGTACATCATAGAGACAATGCCAGGAGGAATTGACATTTCAACTTCTCCTCTTCTGATATTGATGTCCAACTCATTGCCCTCATAATAGCAGCAAAGAACTATAGAAAGTAGAATTTGAATTTTCTACAATTTGTAATCAACCTAACAACTTCATCTCTTTATCTTCGTAAGATATTCTTCCCTTTCGGAAGAGTTAATTATATGAAAAAGAAAAGGTTTTACTAGAGAATTGTCAAAAAAAAAAGGAAGAAAAGAACCACAAAAAAAATTCTCTGAACTTCAATCTTTACTACAGCAGAGGAATTGATTCTGATCAATAATTTGATCAGACAAAATTCTATGGTACACAACGAAACAGGCTTGGAAATCATATGCAACAGACCACTTGTCAAAGGAGTATTGATTTTGAGAAGACAAAGTTCAAGTCTTTTCGTAGGCCGTATAGGATTTTTCCAACTTGGAACAAATAGAAAAGCAATCAGCTTCAATTAATGAAGATTATAGTTTAATGCCAAGCACAACTCTTACATGCATACAACTATCGACAGAAAAGGTACTAAAGTTTCCAAATAATCAAAAACTAGCAGCAGGCAAACAGGAACTGAATAGGTAGTGTCAAAGCAACACTCATCCACACTCTTATACTAACACATGTAGAAGCCTTGTAGACAATAGTATTTAATCAGGCACACTTGAGTGATTTGCTGAGCATTACCTGTATCACACCTGGATATTCTCATTCTGAACATCGTCATCATCTTCCTCCTCCTCGTCATCATCTTCTTCCTCGTCATCATCCTCCTCTTCAACCCCTTCTCTTATTTTAGCAATCTCAGCCTGTGCCCTCTCAACTATCTGCTGCTTTTGCAACTCCAAGTCCCTCTGAAAATCTCTCCTCATCTTCTCCAGCTCCATCATTTGTCTCCTCTTACTACTCTCAATCTTCTCATAAATCTCTCCAAACCTCTGAATCGAGTCAGCCAACAGTCTAGCCGATTCTCCATCCTCCTCGTCCTTCCCTAGTCCCAAACCCTCCTCTTCCTCCTCATTCTCCTCATCAGACACTCCAGGACTATCCCTCATCTCATCCAACACATTAGACTTATCCAAATACACCCGCGGATTCATAAACACGTACTCCCCAGAATCAACCCCACAACCCAAGCCAACATGCCCTCTCATCCTCAGATTCAATAACACATCCATTTTCTTAAAAAACACCCACTTGCTCAAGAATCCACCTCCAACTTTCTCCATTTTCGCCCGCTCTTTCTTGTATTTCTGCTTTAATACATCCAATTGATTCCTGCACTCCATCTCATTCCTCTCCCTTCCACTCATCTCGGAGACTTTCTCGGCCAGCTCAGCCCAATCCTCAGCCCTCAAACTCCTCCTCCCCAGCTCCAAATACCTCTCCCCCCAAACCTCCAACAGCACAAAGCTCTCCTCTTCATTCCAGGAATCCCTCGAGCTCCCACCACCAAGATTGGAACTTTTTGGTGCATTCAGCCCAGCGCGAGGGGCAAGCTCGTAATTTGGGACCAAAGATTCCAACTTTCTTTTCTTTTTGCTTCGCTTGGGCTCATCCTCATAGAAAGATTGATAATAATACCCGCTTTGAGCATTTTGAAATTGTGGGCTTTCTTCGTCATCCTCAAATTCGTCATCTTCCTGGGCAAAGATGGCGTCGTTTGTGGTGTAATGGGTGTTGAGCGGATAAGAGTGAGGGTTTCGAATTGCTGGCTTTGATCGAAATGTGGGCTTTGTTAAATACGGACCTTCTTCATCGGAATCATCCATTGCTCAAACGATTAGATTTAGATTAGATAAGAAAAGAGGAAAAAACTACTAATTTTATGTAAACCTCGAATATCATCAATTTTTTGAGGTTTTGATTAGGGTTTTGAGGATCAGTGAGAGGCGGGGAAAGGCATAAATCAGGAAGGATAATAGACAGAAGATGACGTAAGCTTTTGACTGGCGTATAGGATTTGCTATTTTTCAATGGGTGACTTGCCACTGGGTATGCTTTTTACAAGAATATCTTTCTTTTTTTTTAAAAAAAAAATTTTAAAAGATATTTTTGAACTTTACAATTGAGAAAGATAAAATAGGGGACTTGACTTTAAGTATTTGAACCAAAATCACAAAATTGCTACGATGGAATAAAGGCAAACTGATGCTTTTATTATTTTCGGATATCATGAAAGTCCACTTAATTATTTTCCTTCAGGGAATACAATTTTGCAAGAGCTATGTATAATATATCCTAAGCAGGCATACATCTATTCTTATCTATATATACAATTTGTTATTTTACACTTTCATTAAATAGTATTGGTTTCGAATGGGAAACTTATTTATCAGCTTGTGCCGATGCCTGTATTTGCAAACATTTCTAAAAACGTCTTGGACGTGGCACAAAAATACTACTATTACAGTAGTACTTTGGTTGAAAAGTATTCAAGACACGTTTGTTCTTTTTGGAATGCACCCAAAAAGGAGAAGACTAATGCCTTGGCCGTGAATAAAATATTTTGGTACCAAAAATTGTAAAGTTGCTTCCATTGTTGTTACTATTTAACCTGACATCGATGATCAGAGTCTTCTGGCACAACAGGTCACGATCGGATTGCCTGAAAGATTTGCAGACAAAAGAACAGGGCATACATACAAGTTTCCCTTTTAGACACCAAACCCCCGGTTGCTTCTACGGTGGAAAGTCGGATCAACTATGCACCGTAGGCAGAACTATTGCTAAGATGACAACTCAGCATAGGCATCTTTGTCTATTTGTTTGGGTCCCAAAGGTAACCGGCAAAGTTTATATTACCTGAAGCAGTGGACAGCAACATTGATATAAATTGGTTGGTGTAGATGCTAATTTTTTTTAACTTAATATTATAAGAGAGTGAAAAATGGATCAATAATTGATAAACTTAAGCAATAAATAAATAAATAAATAAAAGAACAAAGTCAAAGAATCACTTAAATTCTACCACTGTTGCATTAAGTTTCCCTATGTATGTAGAAATAATTAATTTTATGGTCATTTAAAAATGTATTTTTTCATGAAAATTGGTTTTTCAATTTGAAATTTAATTTGTAAAAGAATTTTTATGATATGGTGATTTTTGTACGGTATTTACTTATTTGGTAATTACTAACATTAACTGAAAATTTACAAATGAAGTGCTTAAAAACAAAAGAAAGGCACAGAAAGGAGGGTGAGTAATTGGTAAATAATTAATTAACAAAACTACTCAAGAAACCGTAACTTTTATATATGTGAGGAAATATTAAATACTCTTAATAGTAAGACACAAAAGGAATTTAATAGATGAAAAATGTGTATTAACAACACTTAGTGATGCTCCCAAATATTGGATGGATGGTATAAAAAAATATTAATCTAAATTAAATTGATAGTGTATACACTAAATACCTAGATGCATGCCATAATTTGTGTAGATCATTTTTTTTGTGAAAATTCATGAAATATACGATGCAATCCCAAACCACGAGTTTAATGTTTTGAGAGTATGCAAAATGAATTAATGATCAATTGTAAGTAAAGAAAAAGAAAAGTCAATGAATGATTGATACTTAATATTATATTAGCGCAAAAGACACATTCTAGGTCTCTCTCTCTCTCTCTGTGTCTCTCTCTCTCCATTCTAATCTTTATATATATATATATATATATATATATATATATATATATATATTTTCAATATTAATAAGATTACCAAGGAAAAGAGATTAATACTTGCTACTCTAAATTTTTTATTATTCAAAGAGAAGAGTATTTTCTTCTAAAATTTATGATTATTTTATCTACAAGCTCAATTCTAGTTTCTTGAAGTACTATGTTAATTAAGTTTATGATTACTCATCTACAAATTCGATATTAATTTAAAAGTCACTATGTTACATATAAGATTACTTATCTAATTTCTAAATTTAAATTAAAATCTTCTAGGTTAATTATGTCACGATTATAGTTACTTGAAGTATTGTGTTAATTATGTTTCTAATAAATCATCTATAATTTTGATTCTAATTAAAAAGCTACTATCTATTCAACATATAAAGTTAGAGAGATCGCAGTTAGTGTAAACATTTTTATGTCATTTTTCAAACTTTCTATTTTATCCTTAAAGAAAAACTAATTTTTACTCTGACTACTTAATCACATTTTGCCAATATAACTACTGTAACTACTCTAAACAATGTTGGTGTTTTAAATAATGTGTTGGATCTCACCTCTTTATTTTATCGTCAAGTGCATTGTTTGGATATGTATATTAATTTGAATACGAGATTGTAATTGACATTTATATAGATGTCATTGTTTGTTTGTTTCAATGGATTTGCTCTTATTAGATAATCCTTATCACAACAAAATCTTTTAATTCAGTACTTACTTTTAAGAGTAAATTTTGATTTTTGCTATAATTGGTTATCCTTATCATTAGATAATGTTAATATTTAAAAATTCTCAAATTTTGACACTATTTTACTAGTCAATTTTGTGATTTATAGTTTGTCATGTCCAGTACAACTAGTTGCAGAGTTAGAACTTAAGTTGGTAACTATCTAGTTATTTCAATAGTTCAAACGTTCAATCTTTGAAACTTTTGTATTATGTGATTTATGTTTATGAACTTTTTATCTATAATCTCAATTCTAGTTTCTTGGTAGGGGTGTGCATCGAATTCGAATTCGGTAATTCAGAAGTTTGAATTCGAAATTTTTTGGAATTTTGGCATAGGAATTACCGATCGATTTCAATTTCGAATTCACCAATTCCGATTTCGATTTCAATTCCAAATTCGATTCGGAATTTGGTAAATTTTTAATTCACCGAATTCGGAAACCTTTTTTTTCTTTTTTGTTAGATGTGTTGTTATATAATATAAATTTTATATTGCATATATTATAAAAAATATTATTATATATAAATATATTATAAAAATATTATTATATATAAAAATATTATAAAAATATTATTATATATATAAATATACATAAATATACATATTATAAAATGAAATTGAAATAAAAAATATTATTATATCTATAAATAAATAAATAAATATTAATATATATATTATAAAACGAAATTGAAATCGGAAATTCCAAATATTGGATGGATGGTATAAAAAAAGATTAATCTAAAATAAATTGATAGTGTATAACTAACTACCTAGATGCATGCCATAATTTGTGTAGATCATTTTGTTGTGAAAATTAATGAAATATGTGATGCAATCCCCAAACCATGAGTAATTTTTTTAAACTTAATGTTTTGAGAGTATGCAAAATGAATTAATGATCAATTGTAAGTAAAGAGAAAGAAAAGTCAATGAATGATTGGTACTTAATATTATATTAGTGCATAAGACAAATTCTAGGTCTCTCTCTCTCTCTCTCTCACTCTCTCTCTCTCTCTCTCTCTCTCTCTCTCTCTTTTTATATATATTTTTCAATATTAATAAGATTACCAAGAAAAAGAGATTAATACTTGCCACTCTAAATTTTTTATTATTCAAAGAGGAGAGTATTTTCTTCTAAAATTTATGATTATTTTATCTACAATCTCAATTCTAGTTTCTTGAAGTGCTATGTTAATTAAGTTTATGATTACCATCTACAAATTTGATATTAATTTAAAAGTCACCATGTTACATATAAGATTATTTATCTAATTTCTAAATTTAAATTAAAATCTACTGGGTCAATTATGTCACGATTCTAATTTCTTGAAGTACTGTGCTAATTATGTTTCTAATAAATCATCTAATTAAGCCATGTGTACTCCAATCTTAAACTATAAATGCTTACCTGATGTTAATCATCATCAGGTAACCGTAGTTTGTTTTGGGATTCATAAAACATGCCCACAACTTGTGCGGGTGCATGTTTATTTACAATAATACAGTTCATATACTAAAGTGGGTCCCATCTTTACAACTCCTTCTGCCCGGTTTCGGTAGCTATTTCACGGTCGCTGTCCTTTGCCTGGCCCATGCTCATGTGCTGTCCTGATTCCATTTGTTCTGCCTACGGTACAAAGCTGACTCAGCTTTCCACCATAGACGCAACCCCAAACCCCCCCCGGTCCATTTAACCTCAGGAAAAAGGCGACACACGCTACGCTTGTAATGAAATATGAGCAACAATTCTATTTGGATTATAAATACTTGATAAAGACAAATTAAACAAATTCAAAAGTTAGACAGAATACTTATATTAATGTTTGATAAGTTCACAAATTCTGAGAAGGACTTTTGATTGGCTTAGAGAAGGAAAAAGAGATCAAGACTACATGAAAATGAAACTATAGTTCAAGTTAAAATTGATCTAATAATCAATTGACTCCAGAATATGGTATAACGTATTTATCAGATTAATTTTTTTGCGTAAAAAGGTGAAAAGAAATTTGCACTTATAATTTTTTTTGGTGAATAGTAACGATAGAAAATGGAAACTTTTCAACCCCGTATCTTGACAAGCAAAATTGGAGATTTAGTTAGTAATGAAGGATTGGAAATTGGACTTGCATCATATGCTCCCTAGCTAGCTAGCCAGTTGCATGCATACTTGCATGGTTGCGTGTGATGTAAGAGATGGAGCAAATATTAACAGCATAGCATGGACATGCATGATCCAACACGGCGCGGTGGCCATGGAGACCATGCCTGGCTACGGCGCTATTTAGAGCAGTCACGTACGTACTGGTACAGTAGAGTAGTATATGCACGGAGGGGGCACTTGGTCATGACTTGAGCGAGCCGGATGCTTGTTGTAAAGAGCACAATATTGATCACAGCAGGCAATGAATTTGTTCAAGGATCGTTGCCCCGTCAACCCAGAACCTTTTTTCTAGAATAGTTTATGGTTTCCCTTGTTTGGCTTCTTACGTACAATTGCCATAAAAGCGAATAAGTAGGGAATAACAAGTTGGATGGAAAAGAGAACATTTAGTTGAGAAGTGGAGAGTAACGTCGTGTTCTCCTTAACTAACGCCAGAGCATCACCCCATTTTGTTCATCTATAAACAGCTAATCGTGTCTGGCTAGCTAGATTGTACTGATTCTTGTATAACTAGTGGCAAGGATTCTGACATGGTTGGGAAGAGGCTAATTGTCCTGGTTCTCGTTTTGTTCTTAACGTTGGCGGCCGCAATATGTGCAGAGAGTAGTTGGGAGTCAAAGAATATTAATGACGGTGATGTGGAAGTGGGAGCGAGTGTGAAGAAGAATTTACCAGAATGGTTTGTTGGTGGTGGTAGCTCTGCTGCTGCTAGTTGGAGTGGGAATGAGGGTCTAGGCAGTGGTGGTATTTCGAAGGGCTACAGCCTCGGCCACTCCTTCAATTTCGGTGGTTCGGGTGGCGGAATAGGAGGTGGCGTTGGCGAGGGTAAAGGTGAAGGTATTGGAGGTGGGATTGGTAAAGGTGGCGGAGTAGGAGGTGGCATTGGCAAGGGTGGAGGCATTGGAGGTGGTTCTGGTGGGGGCATTGGAGGTAGTTCGGGTGGTGAAATAGGAGGTGGCGTTAGCAAGGGTGGAGGCATTGGAGGTGGTTCGGGTGACGGAATTGGAGGTGGTGTTGGCAAGGGTGGTGGAATAGGAGGTGGGATTGGTAAAGGTGGTGGTATTGGAGGTGGTTCGGGTGGCGGAGTAGGAGGTGGGATTGGTAAGAGTGGAGGCATTGGAGGTAGTTCGAGTGGCGAAATAGATGGTGGCATTGGCAAGGGTGGGGGCATTGGAGGTGGTTCTGGTGTGGGCATTGGAGGTGGTTCGGGTGGCGGAATTGGAGGTGGCGTTGGCAAGGGTAGTGGAATAGGAGGTGGGATTGGTAAAGGTGGTGGCACTGGAGGTGGTTCGGGTAGCGGAGTAGGAGGTGGGATTGGTAAGACTGGAGGCATTGGAGGTGGTTCGAGTGGCGAAATAGGAGGTGGCATTGGCAAGGGTGGAGGCATTGGAGGTGGTTCTGGTGGGGGCATTGGAGGTGGTTCGGGTGGCAAAATAGGAGGTGGCGTTGGCAAGGGTGGAGGCATTGGAGCTGGTTCGGGTGGCGGAATAGGGAGTGGCGTTGGCAAGGGTGGCGGAATAGGAGGTGGGATTGGTAAAGGTAGTGGTACTGGAGGTGGTTCGGGTGGCGGAGTAGGAGGTGGGATTGGTAAGAGTGGAGGCATTGGAGGTGGTTCGGGTGGCGGAATAGGAGGTGGCGTTGGCAAGGGTGGAGGCATTGGAGGTAGCATTGGCAAGGGTGCAGGTATTGGAGATGGGATTGGTAAAGGTGGTGGAGTTGGCAAAAGTGGGGGTATAGGAGGTGGCGTTGGCAAAAGTGGAGGTATTGGAGGTGGGATTGGTAAAGGTGGTAGCACTGGGGGTGGTTCGGGTGGAGGAATAGGAGGTGGAACTGGTAAGGGTGGAGGGCTTGGCGGGGCCATTGGAGGTGGTTCTAGTGGAGGCATCGGTGGTGGTTCAAGTGGGGGTATAGGGGGTGGAGGTGGTACCAATGGAAGAATAGAAGGTGGCGCTGGAACTGGTAGTGGTGGTTCAGCAGGGGGTATAGGAGGTGGCGTTGGCAAAGGTGGAGGTATTGGAGGTGGGATTGGTAAAGGTGGTAGCACTGGGGGTGGTTCGGGTGGAGGAATAGGAGGTGGAACTGGTAAGGGTGGAGGGCTTGGCGGGGCCATTGGAGGTGGTTCTAGTGGAGGCATCGGTGGTGGTTCAAGTGGGGGTATAGGGGGTGGAGGTGGTACTGGAGGTGGTACCAATGGAAGAATAGGAGGTGGGGCTGGAACTGGTAGTGGTGGTTCAGCAGGGGGCATAGGAGGTGGCGTTGGCAAAGGTGGAGGTATTGGAGGTGGGATTGGTAAAGGTGGTAGCACTGGGGGTGGTTCGGGTGGAGGAATAGGAGGTGGAACTGGTAAGGGTGGAGGGCTTGGCGGGGCCATTGGAGGTGGTTCTAGTGGAGGCATCGGTGGTGGTTCAAGTGGGGGTATAGGGGATGGAGGCGCTGGAGGTGGTACCAATGGAAGAATAGGAGGTGGGGCTGGAACTGGTAGTGGTGGTTCAGCAGGGGGCATAGGAGGTGGCGTTGGCAAAGGTGGAGGTATTGGAGGTGGGATTGGTAAAGGTGGTAGCACTGGGGGTGGTTCGGGTGGAGGAATAGGAGGTGGAACTGGTAAGGGTGGAGGGCTTGGCGGGGCCATTGGAGGTGGTTCGAGTGGGGGTATAGGGGGTGGAGGTGCAGGAGGTGGTACCAGTGGAGGAATAGGAGGTGGGGCTGGTGCCGGTAGTGGTGGTTCAGCGGGGGGTATAGGAGGTGGAGGTGCAGGTGGTGGTACCGGTGGAGTAATAGGAGGTGGGGCTGGAGCCGGTAGTGGTGGTTCAGCAGGGGGTATAGGAGGCGGAGGTGGAGGTGCAAGTGGTGGGGTTGGAGCCGGTAGTGGCGGTTCAGCAGGGGTTATAGGAGGTGGTGCAGGAGTAGGATTTGGAGATGGCATTGGCAAAGGAATTGGTGTAGGTGGTGGAAGTGGAGGTGGTGTAGGAGGTGGAGGATTTGGTGGCAGTGGAAGATTTGGAGGAGGTGCTGGCGGAGAGTTTGGAGGAGTAGGAGGAGGTGGCAGCTTTAGAGGAGGTTCGAGCGTAGGCGTTGGTAGTGGTAGTGGGATAGGAGGAGGATTTGGCGGAGGAGGTGGAGCTGGAGGTGGGATTGGTGGAGAACTCTAGTCTTGGGGGGGCTGAAACAGCTAAATTATTTATCGGGACAAGCACAATGGGAAATGTTTTATGTTCTTCGCAAGTCCGAATTAATTTCTTGTTGTAAACTTGTTCCTCGTTTGTTTATGTTTTGTTTCGCATCTCTATTGATGCTTTATCTCTTCTGTAATTCATTTTCCTCTACTGACAATTAATCGCTCCAGGAGAATGTATGCCCTGCAAAATGAATTTTGTTTCAGGACAAAGCCGAATGACGAAACATAGATAAAAGATAAAGCAAGAAAGATTTTAAAAAAAATAAAAATAGTAAGTAAAGAGAAGGGAATTAAATGTTGAAAGCCATGGAGCAACAATGCTAGGAAAAAGTGAGAGTAATAACGGAAAATAGGAAAGCAAAAAGAAAACATGGAAAAAAAAAGAGAGAGTAAAAAATCGTTCCAAGAACTCCTAATTTCCAACAGCATCATCATCTCCAACAACCCGTTCTTTTCGTTCTCGTCCAAACTACCTAAGAAACAAACAAACAACCACCCTGGAAAAGCCATGGCCAAAAAATATTAATGCCAACTATTGCGAGAAAAGAAGGGCGAAAATGAGTCAACGAGATGAGATGAAAAGCCCAATCCCATCTTCTGTATGGGGATCCCATCTTCTGTTTCGCCACAGTTGCCATTCCTCACCACTAACTATTTGTGTAGCTCATTTTCTCCTACCAACTGCAGGAGATCCACATCCTTCCGCATCCCCGGTCGCGTCGCGTAGTGACCCTGCAATTTTGTCCGGGCAAAGATCAATAAGAGTATGAAACGAGGCAACTCCGACAAATAGGACAAGGAGCAAGCACCCACATCAAACCCCCTTTTTTTTTTTACAGCAGATTCATAACTTCTTGTCATAGTTTCTTTTGGGCCGTGTGGTTGTCTAAAACTAAGCTCCTTGAAGTAATGCGGGCATCCCAGCATCAACTTCAATCAACATCTTGGCTGGTCTTAGAATTTGCCATTCAATCTTGTGAACTAATCGAGACCAAAATTGAAAAAAGATATAAAAATGGAGAGGAATAACCAATCGATAAAAGAACACGAAACCATTAACTGTTTCAATAGAGGTACGCGAAAGGGTTGGATTTTGTGCCAAATTACATACTAACTCCCATTAACTTGGCTGGGCAGAAGTGGACATTTCTGTAGATGCATGTAATAATATTCGCTACCTGTTCCGGGACGAATTATTGGCAATAAAGAAATTGGGTGTTAAGGTGGCAGAGTTTTTTCATGCTTGCATAGCCTAGACCTAGAGTGTGTGACTTTTTTTTTTCTTCCAAATATTAATAATCAATTCTTTATCTTTTCAATAATTTTTTTCTCTTATGTGATACAATATTACTCCCTCCGTCCCATTTTGTTAGTCTTGATTTTTTTTTCCCACACAGATTAAAAAAGTGTAATTAATTTGGTTGGAAACATAAATTTAGATTAATAATTTCCTAAAATACCCTTATGCTAATCACAGAGAGTGCCAATTAATTTCAGTTACAACTAATGGGTTAGTATTGAAAAAGTTCAATGTATTCAATGTAGTGGGTTAGTATTTAATAACAATGTATTAATAACAAGATATTTAATAAGGGTATTTTAGACAATTTAAAAAATTACTACATTTCTTAATGGGAAAGTGGACTACAATTTGGGACAGACGAAAAAGGAAAACAAGACTATCAAAGTGAGACGGAGGGAGTATATCATAAAAGATGTTACAGTAATTATTTCAAATAACAATCTCCGATATGATCTGTTATATCACAAAAAATACTACAATAATTAATTATTTCAAATAGTAATCTCCTATCCAAACACACTCGTATTTCAGAGAGGTAATGGAAGCCGCGTGGATTTCCATTTGCAGAACACCCCTGATCAGGCTGGGGAGTTCAAAATACTAATCCCTAGATTTATCGTCTGGTCATTTTATTCATGTTGCACCTCATTGAGCGATCTTTTCGCGTGTGACCCCTTTTTTTCCAACAGCATTTTTGTTTCAAATAATTAATCTGTTCTGGCATCCATCAGTCAGGGATGCTATTGTTGCTGACCTCCTCCGCAAGAACTCTGAAGCTGCTTAATTTCCATAATGGATAACACATCAGCCTGTTGAAAAATCTCACTGAAATTGTTGTACGACGGCTATTGCTGCCAGCTATGAAGCTTTGATTTCCTGTAGCAAGTATGGTGCCATTTGATCATCTCAGAATTTGTTTGAACTCGTTTACGTGTGCCATCCAACTGCAGATAAAGAGAGCTTTTCAGAAGAAAATTTGGATTGGTTTAACTAAAACGCATCCAACCTTCTCAAGTGACAGTACGCAAGAAACAAAAGATCAACGAGTTCCAACTCATTGCTTGTGTTTATAATGGACATCAATGTGAATTCAGTCGGGAAAATTCATCCGGGGCAGTTAACTTCTGAAATGGGCTCCACTAAACTTTTTTCTTACTCTGTCTTTTCCTTAACTACGTCATTGCACCTCAATTTTGCACCAAGAAATGTGGTTGAAACTTTCATGAGCATCGTGCTACAGCAGGGAAAACTGGATGGTTTTATTAGTAGTAGAAATTAGAAAAGAAAAAGTACTCGAACTTTGACATGGTCAAAGCCGTGTCTACACCTTCTATCGTGCTACCAATGACAACCAACAATTCCATCAACACTTTTTTTTTTTAAAGTGGAAATTCTTAAATTCCATACCTTACCTTCTATTTACAGTTCCTTCCATCTTATCCTATCCTCTGATGCACCCATCTTTCCATCAGTAGAAGTTAATTGAATATTGAGCAAAAAAAATAATAATAAAGCCATAATCATATCCTCGAGTTAAATATTTTTGTTTTTCAATCATTTTGTTCAAGGGTTAAAGGTACCAAGTCTCCATAATATTTGGTGTTATTTGTACTTTCTCCCCTACCTATTTTTTTCGTTGCACTTTACTCCCTCTGTTAAGCCACATCCTCTTTTATAGTTAAAGAATATCAAAAGTTTCAATTTTAGTCCTACCTATATCCATTTTCTCCATCCTTCGTTTCCGTGCCCAAGCTTCTCATCTCACCTTAATGCAAATTTTTTTTTTCTTTCGAGAGAATCAAGAACTAAATTCCCAAAATATTTTACTTTTATTAAAAATAAAAAATCGCATCTTGAAACCTTTTTATTGTTCAAAATATGACTCCTCAAATTAAATCTCACAGTGTTAATTAAAATAATTAAAGTCAATAAGTAGAGGTGAGATACAAATGTGATAAAAATATATCTCATATGGGTGTCATGGACACTTGAAGATTTCAATGAGTTTTTTGTTGTTGTTAAAATAGCATAGTATTCTTTATTGATAATTAATTTATGATTTTTCTTGTACATAGAATGGTTTTATTTTAAATTCTACAATAGATTCCAAGGGCATGTGATTATTTTAAGTGGTTGAAATTCATTTTTAATGGCATTTTCTTGAAATGAACAAAAAAAAATTCAAATCTCATTTTCAAGTATTGTTTCTACTAATTGTTATTTTGAGATCATTATCTCCTTATTAAGCCATTGTGTTGACCATTAGTTGGGGGTGGGGGGGGGGGAACTGCAACAAAAATATTATTAGGGAAAAAAGTGCAAATAAGACCAACCTTTAGTGGGGTTTGGCGCCTTTATTAAAATTTGGGTGGAGGCAGATGAGAAGAAATTCTCGCGTTTGGCGCCGTAGTAAAGATGGAATTCAGAAAAGAACCACAAATTGTCGAGACAACAACGCAGAGAAAGAGAAGATTGGGTGGAATTCTAATCCTATTGAAAGCCTCGCGTATGAGCTATTGATCCGCAGCAAAATGTACGTGCATAACACGCCTTTGCCATTCACTTGTTCTCTCGCGGAAATTGCAAACTTTCCGTGTGTCGTCGTCCCAGTTAATTTGTTTTGTCTCCACTTTTACTTACCAACTTTGCAATGATGAAGGCCGTTGAAGAAAGAAAAGAGAAAAGTTGATGAATTATTATATGAAAGAATTACGTTTCAAACTCGAGTAAAATCTCTATCTGGCCTGAGTCTGAATGTGTAGCACGCCGTCACTTTGATGGAGTGGCCACGCAAATCTCATGCTAACTGAGGAAGGTCGCATGTAATAATGGATAGAAAGAGAAGCACTCGACAAGTGGTAAGCAGCAGCATATTTTTGCAGATTTCAGGAACCAACCAACACCTTTACGTTCGCTAGTTCTTTTTCCTGGAAAAAAAAAGGGTGTCCAAACAGCAAATGTTTTTTTTTTTTTACTACATTGTCTTTTCACTTCCATTTGATTTGATTATCTGTCTCATCTATATCTATAAGTATTTTTGTTAGAAGTCTCCACAAACCTCCAAAATTCCAATATCTTTTTCCTACAATTTTACATATTTATTTTAATTCAGATATATTAAGTAACCTTGTCCTTCTCAACAATTCAAATTTTAGGTGACCCGCTAATTTCAACAACCAAAACACAAATAACTGATAACACGAGCCATTGGGCCTTTGGTCCAGTGGTCATCCCAAGCCTTCTAAGCTTTGGTGATGCAAAGAGATTATGGATTCGAACCCTGCCTCCCTCAAAAATTTGTCACAATATGTGACGGTCTTCTTTGGCCATCTTCGATGGAGTTTCTACTCATATCGAGTCCCCTTCCCCTCCCCTCCCCCCTAGAATAGGCTAGTTTAAGTTATAGAAATCCCATCCCATCGTTTCTACAAAAAAAAAAAAAAAAAAAAAAAAGATAACACGAACCATTTAAGCAACGGACCATTTTGCAAGTCACATCTGCAAAAAATTTTACGTTGGCATCTCTTCAATTGTCTGGGATAATACTATAGATCCGGTGTCACGTACACAAAACATGAAGTATCCCAACAAAAGCTAGAGGAATAATATGTCGCCACGTAGCCATCTTAGTAACTTTTCGGATTAAATCCATCCGCAGATCGGTTCCAATCCTCGAGCCCTTTTACGTGTTTTTGTCACATGTTCCAATTTATCACGTAAAAATCTCAGTCGCTGAAGCAATAATCGCAAGCCACCGTCGAAGGATACACAACTTTTCCTATGGGGTCACGATTATGAAAAACTAAAAACAATTAATAATATTCTTTAATTTTTCTTTTTGTATCGACACATTTCACCCA